GATTTACAAACATTGATTAAACATTCACTTATTTTTTAATGAAATATAAGATATTGAATATACAATAATCAGTGGGTTTGTTCTGACAATTCTCTATGCGACTATAAACATACGCGTTTATTTAAAACTATTTCAGGACTGGTGTTTCTTTAGTAAGGAATCGTCTGAGAAGCGAAATACTTTTAAGCGCGTCGGTTGCCAGTTACGTTAATCGCGATTATGAAAAGTGTAGCGAAGAATGCCCTTATGTGTGTAACTCATAAACCGCATAATTAAGACGCATGCTGTTCAGAGTTAATTTTAGTGCTGAATGTTAAAATTATTATACAGTAGGTAAATTAATTTTGTAACTTATAAGATATGAAACTCTGTTTCACACTTATTTGTGTGCTTGCTGTTTAATTAATTTAACTATAGATAATTATGTTTAATAATTACAAATTATAACTGAATTAAAATTGCCATATTTTGGCATTTTTAAAGCATGCATGCCATTTGATATGGGATTTGGCACATCCATCGTCACCTGTTCCGTATAGCGGATGTGTTTGTTTTGGCGACGCGTAAAGGCCCATATAGCCACTTTTGTTGGAATAGTCACAACCTTGGGCTTCAAAAGATCATATTTGATTAATAGTTTGTGAGAGCACCTAATTTCAAAATCTCCTACGCTTTCGAACGCCGCGGCGGGCCCCTCGGAAGGCGAGCAGGCTATGTGAAGGCCGAAGCTATAAAAATCAATATTCGCGGCAGAGGTTTAAGGTTTATAATAATATTTATTGTCTTGAATCACATTGCTGCTATGAAATCGTAATGCCATCCACTTGCGGCGTGTTATGTTGTTTTTTTTATGCACAAACTTTTTCAAATTTGGACAATGTTATAAGGCTTCTGAAAAAAATCGGCATCGGCTTCCTGTGATTGTTATAGCGGTAGCATATAGTGAGTTACGTGTTGAATGACAATCGGTTAACAAAGTTAATCCTTACGCCTGTATTCTAAAAGGTAAATCACATTAATTGAGTGAATATTCAATCTGAGCATCTCTTGACTGTCAATGCTGTTTTTGAATAGCTGGAGGGTGAATAATCACATAGTACGACACCAATTGAAAAACAGCATTGACAGTCAAGAGAAGCTGAGATTGAATCTCCACTCATTAAGTGTGAGTGAGCTTTTAGAATACGGGTGGACCTTTATTTTTCTCTCATGTGCGTATATATATTTTTTCTTATGAGATAAAATGTATGTGAGTACTACCGAAGATCGTGAACATAGTCCAAACGTGTTGTTACCGTGATGCTTAAAGTGTGTGCCTATATAGTAAAGCCGAGTTTCCACTTACAGTGTTAACGTTTTCGCCAGCCGTCGACGAAAATTTGGGGAACGATTTTGTCTTCGTGAGTGTGTTTGGTTCTTCTTTACTTACGTCGATGAAATTTCTAGCATAAGTTAATGATTTTCAGTGACTGTTGGGGCACGTAAACTCCTCGAATAGGAATAAGAAAAAAATTATGTAAAGAACATTTTTACGCCGAAAACGCGAAGTGGAAAATTGACGTTATGCATGCAGATGATCTTTTTTTGCACGAAATGTAGAAAGAAACAAATATGACATAAGCGTAAACGTGTAACGCTTAATTTCCATAAGTTTTAATATATAGTGGACAATGTGATTTTGAAAGGGGCTCATGATTACATGGAGATCGAGTTTTGACTCGATTTGATTTGATTTTTTTCCGATTTGTTTTGATTTGAGATCGAGTTTTGAGTTTTTGTTTTGATCGAGTTTTCCGGGCTGTGTTTCATCCAGGTTTCCCGGTGTCATAGCGGATTTGGTATATCTTATCATGTCCGTTTTTATTTGAGCATTTAAAGACTAGTTTGCACTCAGGAAAATTATGCTTGGATTGGAACGGACAAGAAAATTTTTCTTTGTCTTGTGAGCTCTGGGTTGGAACTAATGACTTTAACACAAACACTTGTCCGTTCCAATCCACGGATAATTATCCTGAGTGGAAAGTAGCCTTAAGAGTCAGAGCAGATAGCAATTCCAAGGAGTAAAATACTTGTGAAGGCTTCATGCCCTTCTCAGTTCTCGCACATTCCAAGATCATAGAAATAAAGCCATGTACCAAAAAATTATAAGTCATAAACTTTGACGGAATTGTCCAATATAAAAATCTAAGATTTGATCGTCTAAAAATCTTCGTACGGTTATTAAAATAAATCAGATGACATTTATGACATTTAAAACGGTTTTAGTGCAATATTCAAAATACGATACGTCGCAATTACAAATATACGCGAGGGTCCAAATTGACGAGGGGAGTCGAAATCGGCTAGCGAATAAAGACCCCCATAGGTCCATATTCGCTAGAGGATATAGACTCCCCGGTCCATATTCGCTAGCCGGATTTAGTCGTAAGGATAAAATCCTATTAAAACGGAGCAAGGGATTACGTGACCAAAATTCCAGTCCCGGGCTGAATTTTCAGCCGGGTCTGAGCTGAAATTTCAGCCCGGCCTGAGTTTCAGCCAGGCAGCATGTAATCGCAAATAATTTCAGCCCGGGCTAAAAAATAACCGTTGAAATGGCTTTATTTTGCGTGTTTGTTCAGATGTGATTACTTATCGAGTTAATTTAAGGGTACTTTCCACTCCGGAAAATTATATGCATGGCTTGGAACGGGCAAGAAAATTTCTCTTTGTGTTGAAGTCATTAGTTCTAACCCAGACCTCACAACACAAAGAAAAATTTTCTTGTGCGTTCAAATCCACGGATAATTTTCCTGAGTTGAAACTAGCCTATACCTGATTGGTGATTACTGATCGAGTGTACCTGCAAAACATCAACTAATAAACTGTGTACTGAAGTCATTCATGAGGTGACCGCAAGGGAATATAATATATTGATATATTGCGTGTTTATTAAGAACGAAGCAACAACATATTATATTGATATATGGCGTGGTTTCTTAGGAACAAAGCAACATAATATATTGATAGGCCTATATTGCGTCGTTCCTTAAGAACGAAGCAACAACATATTATATTGATATATGGCGTGGTTTCTTAGGAACAAAGCAACATAATATATTGATATATTGCGTCGTTCCTTAAGAACGAGGCAACAACATATTAAATTGATATATGGCGTGGTTTGTTAGGAACAAAGCAACATAATATATTGATCTATTGCGTCGTTCCTTAAGAACGAAGCAACAACATATTATGTTGATATATTGCGTGCTTTCTTAGGAACAAAGCAACATAACATATTGATATATTGCGTCGTTCCTTAAGAACGAAGCAACAACATATTAAATTGATATATGGCCTGTGCAACATAATATATTGATATATTGCGTGTATGAGGAACAAAGCAACATAATATATTGATATATTGCGTCGTTCCTTAAGAACGAAGCAACAACATATTAAATTGATATATGGCCTGTGCAACATAATATATTGATATATTGCGTGTATGAGGAACAAAGCAACATAAGATATTGATATATTGCGTCGTTCCTTAAGAAAGAAGCAATAACATATTATGTTGATATATTGCGTGCTTTCCTAGGAACAAAGCAACATAATATATTGATATATTGCGTCGTTCCTTAAGCCTGCCGCACACGAGAGCTATCTGCTGAGCCAAAAGTTACTCGTGCCTGTTAGCTCAGCTGATAGCTCACCGATCAAACATGTTTGATACGTGAGAAAAGGTTGCATGAGGCAAAAAACTCAGTAAAATGTACCCGCACACGGTGAGCTATCGGCTGAGCTAACAGGCACGAGTAACTTTTTGCTCAGCAGATAGCTCTCGTGTGCGGCAGGCTTTAAGAACGAGGCAACAACATATTAAATTGATATATGGCGTGGTTTGTTAGGAACAAAGCAACATAATATTGATATATTGCGTCGTTCCTTAAGAACGAAGCAACAACGTATTATGTTGATATATTGCGTGCTTTCTTAGGAACAATTTCTTAGGAACAAAGCAACATAATATATTGACATATTGCGTCGTTCCTTAAGAACGAAGCAACAACATATTAGGCTATATTGATATATTGCGTGCTTTCTTAGGAACAAAGCAACATAATATAACAGTCTGTTTTAATATAATATAATACACAAGGAAGCATTGACAAGTAGCTATATATATTCAATTGATGGACATTCCTTGGTCGTCAAATGTCCAATGGACATTTCATATGTCCATTGAACATTTCAAATGTCCATTGGTCCATTGGATCCAATGGACCAATGGACATTATACTCATTCAGTATATCCAGGATGCCCTTTCCCGGTGGTTACAAAGTCCGGTTTAGTCCATAATTGGATGCAATTGACACTCGAATACCCAATGGCCATTCGATATGTCCATTGGACATGCACATGTCCAATGGACATTTGAGTTGTCCATTGGATCCAATGGACAGTCATATGTCCAGTGGACATTTCATATGTCCATTGGACATTTGCGTTAGTATTGGACATGTATGGTATAGTGTGATATGATATGGTGTAATATGGTATGGTGTGGGATGGTATGGATGATAGGTATGTGTGGTTTGGTATGGTTTGGTATGGTATGGTATGGTATGGTATGGTTGGTATGATATGATATGGTGTGGGATAGTATGGTATGGTATGATGTGCTTTGGTATAGTATGGTATGGTATGGTACGGTACGGTATAGTATGGTGTGGTGTGGTGTGGTATGGTATGGTATGGTATGGTATGGTGTGGCATAGTTTTGTATAAGATAAACATAATTTGTTTTTTAGTAAATTATTTTGTAAGAAAATCGAAGAGTTTGTGGACGGCTCGCAGGGACCACCCTGTTCTAGCCAAGAAAATGCCAGTACTTTGTTCAGGTATTGTTTTATATATTTTCATCAATAAATTAGGTAAGTAAGACAAGTCAAATGTGCCTCTTATTCTAAATGTTGTAGATGTGCTTCTTGCAAGAGATTGCTGACGGCAAAAAATCAATCTAGAATACCCTGTGTGTTGAACAGGTAAAAAATATCTTATTCAAGTATGGTCCCTAAACTTACTTGTACATAGTTCTTAGCTTATCCGTATCAATTTTGGTTAAATTCTTAGAATGAATGTTGACTCAAGGGGAGAAATTTCTTATTATCATTCACGGTAAGGTTGCTTGTTATGAGTTTTTCGCTGATTTTCACTGGGAAAAAAATTGAAAAGTTCAAACCATGAAAATTATATTTATTCAACTAAATCTATGGTGTATCCCAGGGGCGTATCTACCGTGGGACGGGTGCAGGGGATGAGCACCCCACCTAGTGGTGTCTAGCAACCCCCTAGAGAAGTCCAGCACCACCCTAAAAAAATCTGCTTGACCATACATTTTCTGCTTTTCGAATAACTTCTACTGTTAGCGCGTGTCGATTCTTTAAAACGATTTAATTGATTTGTGAGCTCACGAGAAAATACTCAGAATGCTTCAGTTAAATATCATGGTTATTTTCAAATATACTGTACTTTAAGAAGCAAATTTATTGTCCTGTGCTACAGCAACTGTCCAGTTACATATACATGATAAAAAGCCGACATAAACTTTATAAAGAAAGATAATGTAAAACGTAACAGAACGGCCATCTCAAATAATGGTAATGTGGGGATACTGTAGTAGCGTTGCAGACTGCAGAGGAGAGTGGGCAGTAAGGCTTCCTCATGCACCACCCCATGGAAAACCTGCACCCCTCCTTGCAGAAGAGGCTAGATCCGCGCCTGGACTGTATCCACACTATATCCACTATGGCATAGTAAGGACGTCAAAATTCATCGTGCCTATTAATTGTATTTTTGTACAAACGCCATTCACAATTTCCTTTGTGTAGGGATATGCAGTGGGATATTAATGATCATCTCGTAAATTTAAAAGAGAAGTTAAAAACATGGCGGGACGTGTATTGGAGGTACTGTATTGTATGTTTTCTATTGTTCTATATCTGGAGCAAAACTTCAGTCATTTGGCCTATGAGAAAAATGAAGGCAAGATGGCGGGAATTGACCTCCAATAACCATATGAAGGTTGTAAACAGTTTTCATACAATTCTTCTCAGCTAATTTCAGGTTTTTCTAACGGACTGTATCGCTAATCAAGTTATGAGTTCATAAAACATAGTATTATTCTTTTAATCGAGGTCAAAATACGAAATTTTGGCACACTCCTTGCAAGCTTCGTGTTAACCGCGCAGGCAAAAACAATAAAAAGGGACTGGAACTGACGTCCAATAGCTCTTCAATTTCCGCCATCTTGGCGTCACTTTTTGGACTTGAGTTCTCGCTCCAGATATATGTGGTATATTTATGATCAATAAATCATGATCAAGCAATCGATCAATCAATAAATCGATCAATCAATTAGTCAAATATATAATCAATCGATCAATAATCAACCAATCGATCAATAAATAAATAATCGTCAAATAATCAATCGATAAATAATCAATCAATCATTAATCAACAAATTGATTAATCATTAATCAATCAATCGATAACCAATCGATAATCATCCAATATTTGAAAACGACTGAATTAATTTATTATCTCTAGTCCGTATATTGCCTACTATCGCCTTTCCCTATTTATAATTTTCCATGAATTTTCATCCATATTTTTAGAAGTGGCAAGCGTACTACAGTACTAAAACTCATCAATATGTCCAAATCTAACACATTAAGATAACGTGATAATTTTTCTCTGCAGGTTATGGGGATCGAGCAATATCTTATACTGTTATCGATGTCGATGTTATTTTCCATGTACGGACTTCGGTCATTGTCAGTATCACACTTCTGCTCCTGAATATAAAGCCAAGTCCGAACATGATTCTGTTGGTGTTTATCCATGTTGTCAGCAAAAGGCTTTGTTATACGATTCAATCGGTGTTTTTATGGTTAGAAAATTTGTTTAAATTTGTAAGAGGTAGTTGTATTAATGATGATAGATAGGGTGTCAGCTATACATTAGCAAATTCTAGTAATTTCCCAATTCAGATCTGCCAAAAATACATGACAATTATGAATATATTTAAAAATATAAGATTATTGAACTTGAAAAAGGATTGTAAACCAGATCAAGGTTGTGAAGATGTTGTCGGTCCTAAAATATATTTGCCTGTTTTAGTAAGCAAAACAATGTCTGTTGACTTGCACTTCAGAGGTCTACATTTAGCTCAGCCAATCAGCGCCTTGCCGCTTTTTGTCTCTTCACGTGACATATTATGGTTGACATGATTTGACAATGAGCTGGTTTCTTCCTGTAGTAAGTTAGTAACACTACAGCAATACTGTAAACAACCCTTGACCTTGATTTTCTTCCATAGGGTTGCCGTGTCAAGGATCATCTTATCCATCCCCCAGGATCCCCTCATACCACCGATGCTCCTGGTGATAAGAATGCCCCAGGCAAAGATCCTCCTGCTTCGCCAAATGGAAGTCTCTCACCTAGTGTGCCCTCTGATCATGCTGTGAAACGTCAAGCCAGTACAAGTGGTGTGGTCAATGATCCTTCCGTTGTGAAGGATTTATTGGCTCATCGTGATATCATTTGTTTACCTTTTCACAGATCGGCAAGTGCTAGGTAATTATTGGTTTAATCTTAGTCGATCAATCAACCGTTAAATAAATCTAGTGATCAATCAGTTCGTTCATTGATTATTATTAAAACCTTATATAAATACTGAATCAACCAATAATCAACCATCCATCAATAATAAATAATCAATCAATAATCAGCCAATCAATCAATAATTTATCAGTCAAATAAATAAATAAATAATCAATCAAATCAATAAACAATAAATAATCAGCCAATCTATCAATAAATAAATAATCAGTCAACAATAATCGATTAATCAGTAAATAACGATCAATAAACAATCAATCAATAGTCGATCAATCAAATAAACAATCAACCAATCAATAATCAATCAATAAATGATCAATCGATTAATAAACAATCAATAAACAGTCAATCAATCAATAATCAATCGATGAAATAAATAGTCAATCAATAATCAACCAATCGAGAAATAATCAATCAATGAACAATCGTAATCAATCAATCAATCTAATAATTGAAAACGACTGAATGAATCTATCATCTCTTGTCCGTTAGTAGCCTATTTTACCTTTTCCTATTTATGATTTTCCATAAATTTTCTTCCCTATTTTTAGGACATCTGAGCTAAATATTTTCCACGAAGATGAATCATCAGATGTCTGGAAATCACCGAGGGTAGGACTTTTATCATCTTACTTTATATACTGAAGACGAGCGTTAAAAACAATCGCTGATGGAGTTCTTTATTATTTTAATACGTTTTTGTGTTTTCTTTCAGTTCGCTTCCCTGAAGTTTTCAGGAAACGCAGTGGACAAAAGAGCTGTCGTCGACCATTCATCTGTAAGTGTTCCTGCTCATGTATATTTCCAAACCTTTGGGGCTTCGCGGCGCAGTCGTCACAGCAAGTGCTTTTCACCTCTGAGATCGTGGGTTTGATTCTCGCTACGGACTCATGTGAAAAGAGTCAGTCAACGCTCTGCCGAAAGTCGTGGGTTTTCTCCGGGTGCTCCGGATTCCTCCCACAAGGAAAGTTGACAGGGTGGGTTGGGATAAACACAGTTAAGAAGTAATATTACTATTGTTGTAAAGATAAAATAGTCTGGGCTAAGTATGTAATCAGGTAAGCGTAATACTTGATGTAAAATGCATTTGATCATATTTACCTGTAAATTTGCGCTACAAGCAATGTTTATCGTCATCGCATGAAGCTCGAGTTGTGTGTACTCTCTGTAGGCATTACCTCCGATCAGACGCAGTAAGACAACCATCTCACAACGAGTGCCTAGCGGCCGTAGAAAGACGGCCATCTTGAAAAATCATGATTATTTTGATACAAGTGAAGACGAAGAGGATGGAGATGAAGAGTATCATGATATCAAAGGTAAAGTCTGTGGCGTGTGGGAATGGATCCAGCCAGATCTGGTAGGGGTTGGGGTGCAGGGTCAGAGGGGAGGATGAAGAAGGTACCCATAAGGTTTCCCCTGATATACAGTTGACTTCGTTTGAGCATGCAGAACTTCAAATTTTGTCCTATATTTATGGAACACATTATTCTACTATAAGACAGCTATAATGAAACTAATTTGTAAAATAATTAAGAATGTAACATCTAACTCGATGTCAGACTTGGTAAGCAGACGAGAATGCAATTACTCTCTACGAGCCAAATACCAACTATCTGCACCCTGCTTCAATACAAAAACTTTGAAGCTTTCTATAACGTATAGAGGTGCAATCTTGTGGAATGATATAAATCGAAAACATTGCGAAATAAACATTGATGAACATGTCAATGTTAACGCCTTCGTAAAAAAGGCCATAAAAACAATCACCTTCAAAGACTTTGTCTTTTCATAGACATAGTAAATAGATAGTAATTAATTCTATATAATTTATAACTTTTGTATATATCTCTAAGTGCACGACCCCACAAGCTTATGCCTTAAACATCATCGTGCATAAATAAAGTCATATTAAGTTCTTTGTAGGTTTGCATGGCGATAAAACATATAATAGTTTTTGTTTGTGGAAACACCACGTAAATTTATTACTGCAAATTAATGTTTTTTGAAGTCATATTATTATTATTCAATGTTCTGGACTATTGTGTTGAACGTTTATAACCTGGCTTACACTGTCAAAGTTTCTGTGATCACAGTAGGAATTTTGTACCGGTAAATTCTACGTTTTGAAGGATTTGTAAGAAATGTTTGAGGGAACTCACTCAATATTAAACACCGAGTCCGTTCCCTCAAACATTTCTTACAAATCCTTCAAAACTTAGAATTTACCACCCGAATGCAAAATTCCTACTGTGATCACAGAAACGTTGCTAGTGTAAACCAAGCCTTATGGTTTGGTATAACACACTAGTCCCACTTTGAAAGATTCAAGTATGATTTTCCTTAGTGTGTACTAATTATTTTTTCAAGTTCGTCATTTTCGTCGAGTTAAAAAAAAGGTGATTGAAGATCGGCAAAGGTGAGTGTCTAATATACTATATTGACAGTGGCGAAGCCAGCCCGACAATTTGGTCATGCTATGCAAATATTTCCATAAAAACAATCAATTTCTAAAGAAGTGAATAATGATAATGATTTATAATTTGCGTAGCATGATCAAATTGTCGGGTTGGCTTCGCCACTGTATAATTGTCACTGCTAAAAATCATGCAGCCTTTATTTTTATACCGTCTTGATAAAATGTGAACTGTGAGCACTATTTGCTATTATATTCAATATATGCAATCGGATATGGCTCTCAATCTGTCTCCATTCTAGTTCCTCTGGCTTCAAGTGGGATCCTCAGCGTTCTCCAAGATGGAATCAAGACGCCCAACGAGAGGAAGGTACGATACACAGTTTGTCATATGAATTATAACAAATATAATAGAAAGTTTACAGTACACACGTAAAAACGCACAAGTTCAAACAAACCTGCAGCAGACTTGTACATAGCAATGCTGTTCGAACAACTTGCCAACAAGATGTGTTCGCAATGATTATTCCCAATCCCAGCTTGTTGACAAGTTGTTAACGGCTTGCTACAAGCCTGTTGCGAACACATCTTCATGACAAGTTGTGAGATTTTTACGTGTGTGCAAGTTCATTCCATCCAACTTCATTCCAAATATGTGAACAGTCCATGGTTGGATCCAGGGTGGAAGGGGCGTGTGCTCATTGAACTTTGGTCGTGGCTCAGGGTGTGACCGTTGACCAAATGCGTAATTACTAGAGGGAGCTACAGCAGCAAGGCACTATACTGTAGTCTCTTGTCTTGCAGTTTACAATTTCAAAATCATGGTATTATCCCATTTTGTCTCTATTTTATTTTTGTTTTTGTAATCGCCTTTCCAATAAGAAAATGGATTTGATAAGGATATTGTCACTGCCCTTGCACCCCGCCAAGGCTATGAGGGTGCACACCTCCCCTCACCCCCTCAGTAAATCCATCCCTGGTACAGTCATACATCCCTGATACAGTCATATATGTTCAGTTCTTTATTATTCCAGATTCCAAGAGAATGAATGAAGTGATAAGCACAATGGCTAAACTCAGATCTGCTTCTAACCAAGAGAAGAAATCGAAAACTAAGGAGGTTTGTCTTCTAAACACTCGATGCGAACAAACATACGGTTCCAGGGGTATTTTTCGGGGGGGGGGGTATTCCCCCCCCAAAAAAAAAAAAATTCCCGAATTCCTCTCCAAATCTGAAAAAAAAAATTGGGGGGGGGCAGGGAGGAGCATTTCCCCAATGAATTTTCTTCATGAATTATTTCTACACAAACGCGAAAAATGTTCTATTGTATAGAATATTTAACAAATATAAAAAAATTTCCGTGTTGATATACAGTTATATCAACACGAGTGGAAATTGGGAAAACGAGAAATTGTGTGGAAACACGGGCGGAGTGTTTTCACACAATTTCGAGTTTTCCCAATTTCCACGAGTGTTGATATAACTATATATCAATACGGAAAAAATGTTTTATATTTGTTTTATAATATAGTACAAAGAAATATAAAGAAAGAAATTTTCCGACGTTTCCGTGTTGACATTGCGTTATATCAACACGGCTCTTAGCCAATCAGCGTTCAGAATTTACAAATGCTATATTATAAAACCCAATATCTGATTTTTAGAAACAAAATTATTTTAGTTTCCAGGTGGAATATTTCATAAACTGGATCATCAATTTCGAGTTTCAATCCAACCTCCTGCTGTGAAACATCAGAACTCGAGTAATCAAATTTTATCGGGGTAAATAGTTTTTTACATTTATAACTTTTAAAAGGAGCTTAAATTTATGCCACAGAGATAGTCCGCAGTATTTTGGGTAGTATAGTCCGCAGTATGTTACAGGTCTGCAAACGAGTTGTTACAAATCTGTTCACAAGCTGTCAATAAATTGTGTTGGAACAAGCTGTGAACAACTTGTAACAAGCTTGATGGCATTATCAGACTTGTTACAAGGTTTGTTCCAACAAGACTGATACAGGCGATACAGTCATCATGTAACAAGATTGTTACAAGATGGATGATACAAGGTTGTAACAATATTTTCATATCTTGACTGTATCAGACTTGTTAGAACAAGTTGTTCAACCTTATCAAGTTGTTCCATACTTGTTGACAACTTGGAACGAGCAACGCGAACACAACTTGTTGACTTTCTACTAGAGGTGTGCATCGGATCGGATTGGACGTTTATAAAACGACAATTGGCTAATGTTTAAAATCCGATCCGAAATTGTCTAATCCGAATCCGATCCGAGGTTTGATAAAGAATTCCGATCCGAAGAATCCTTTAATAAAATAAATTTCTCATTCAGGTTGAAATATTTAACGAAATACATATAAAAGCAAGAAATACATGTCAAGAAGCTGACAAAGTGATGTTCAATTGAAGTATCAAACGAATAATGCAGCGACAACCGCGATAATGCTTTGATAAATGCATGGATAATTAATTCTTGCGATAATACGTGGATAGTTAATTCATTTTAATTCGAATATCGAAGTCCGATCCGACTACGAAACAACTTTATCAATCCGATCCGATCCGAAATGTATATTTTTGTTCCGAAATCCGAACGAATCCGATCGGATTCGGATCGGTTTTGCACACCTCTACTCGCTATACAAGATGTGAGATTTTTGCGTGTGGTAGTGACAGCCACTTACACGCGTAAAAACGCACAAGTTTGTTCACAAGCTGTTAACAAGATGTATTCGCACTGCTTGTCACAAGTTGTCAACAGGTTTGGAACAACTTGTAACAACCTTGTCGAAATTATCAGACTTGTTGCAAGGTTGTTCTGACAAGTCTGCGACATGCTTGATATAACAAGATTGTTACAACCTTGTGTTGACAACCTTGTAACATCCTTGTTATATCGTGGCTGTAACAAACTTGTTAGCACAATCTTGTAACAAGGCTGATACTAGTAATGCCATCAATCTTAATGTTACAAGTTGTTAACAGCTTGTTTCAAACTTGTTACAACAAACTGGGAACAAGCAGTGCGAACACAACTTGTTGACAGCTTGTGAACAGACGTGTAACAACTTGTTTGCAGACTTGTTACAACTTGTGCGTTTTTACGTGTGTACTGCAAAGGTTGGTAATTTAAATAACGTTTTGTCTGTCATATTTTATAGCTCCCGTACAAAGAAAGCCACTGCCAACAAGAATTAACATTAAAATGGACAGACGAATTTTATTGAAAATGGTGGCAGACAAGTGATAGAGTTAATATATAATGTGTTAATATATATAATGTACAGAAGATGTGTTCATATTTATTAGGGGCTGTTCTTATGGAATTTTAAATTTTCTTAATTTTCTCAGTACAATTGTGACTTGAGTGCAATGCAGTACACGCGTAAAACCTTACACAAATTTCGTACAAAATTTGAAAGTTCTTGACTGTCCTTGAATTTGAAAACAAAAATCCAAGGCCTTGAATGTCCTTGAATTTGTACTTGAAAGTCCTTAAATTTTTCTTGCTTTAGTTTTTGGATATTTTCTGAAATTGTTTGACATTCAAAACGGACATTTTGTTGAATTGATTTTGCATGTTCATATCTGATTTCTATAACCCCTTTTCTTCAGTATTTACGCCCGTATTCTAAAAGCTCACTCACACTCAGTGAGTGGAGGTTCAATCTGAGCTTTTCTTGAGTGTCAATGCTGTTTTTGAATAGCTGAAAGGTGAGTAGTCACATATAGTAAGGTACGACACTCACCCTCCAGCTGTTCAAAAACAGCATTGACACTCAAGAGAAGCTCAGATTGAACCTCCACTCATTGAGTGTGAATGTGAGTGAGCTTTTAGAATACGGGCGTTAGTCCTTGAATTTGTTGACACATGAACTTGAATGTCCTTGAATTTGACTCTTCCTCATGCCTATGTACGAACCCTGCTTACATCTTGTGGCAAGTCTGCCAACAAGCCAAACACGTTTAATTTGTATTCCTATAACCAGGCGGAACACACTCGTAAACTACTCGTGTGTGAGCACTTTGCAGTTCTGGGAAAACGCAAATCTGTTCACTGTCCCAAGTTGTCAACAAGTTTTGAACAAGCTGTTGACAACTTGTAACAACCTTGTTGATATTATCAGACTTTTGTTGCGAGGTTGTTCCAACAAGTCCGATACAGTCATGATATAACAATATTGTTACAACCTTGTGTCGTCAACCTTGTAACATTCTTGTTATATCATGACTGTATTAGACTTGTTAGAACAACCTTGTAACAAGTCTGATAATGCCATCAAGCTTGTTACAAGTTGTCAATAGCTTGTTCCAAACTTGTTACAACAACTGGGAACAAGCAGTGCGAATACAACTTGTCGACAACTTGTGAACAGATTTGTAACAACTTACGTGTGCAGTGTTCAACAATAACTGAGCGGCATTCGCGATCCATTTGCGTGGACAACGCGCACGGAAAAACTGTGTTTTCGCAGAACTGCGAAGCGCAACAGGTGGGAAATTTGTCTGAGCATGCGCGAGTAAAATGAGTCACGCAATTGTGTGGAATACACGCAACGCGTGTTTACAAAAAGCACAATCGTGTAAATATTGCAAAATGTTTGTAGAAAATAAATGACTGTTTTATGTTGAAAGAGTGAACATGTTCTAAATTAATCATACAGAACTTTTTAGTGACGTTCTATTTCAGTACCCTGCCATTGTCTCTGGTGGGCTGTCCGTGTGCATTCGATCTGAAACAGTTGCTACTTTGCTGTCGAAGAATTTCGAATGTTTACATGAAAAAAGAGGCAAGTCATGCATTTTACAACCTCTTAAACTGTATGAGCCCCTATTTTTACGCTTATACCCAAGATATCAAATAAAAGTACATGAAACAGAGAACATTTGTAGAAAGTTTTATCGTGAGGCCACGGCCAGTTTTTAAAATATCTTTATTTCTGTTCCGGTCATCACCAAAATTACACAAAAGCCGGGCTTGAATATACAACAAATTTTGAATCTCATCAAGCACAAAAATACTTAACGTGTAACCAAAATATGCTCATGAAATCGAAATTAATAGCTAAATTTTCAAACTAGACCCTTCTCGAAGCGGTTTTCATGAAGGAAGTTCACATTTCGGCCTTTGATTCTTGGCAAAAATTTGACCACAACACATGCGAAGCAACTGGGTCTCAAAGACTGAACTAAAACATTGTGAGCCCCTATTTTCCTAACGATATGTTTGATACCTACAAACGCCGAAAACGTTTTTCTTTTCATTTAGCTATATTTGAAATTGAGGCCACGGGCTATTTTTGAGAAAATACAGTTCAAAGTCAAGCTATTTTTACATATTTTCAAAATTTGTCAAATTTCGCGAGCTTGTATTTTGAACTTAGACAGCTGAAGTTACATTAAGAAACATAGGATGGAAAATTTGAGGCATATAAAGTTAATTTCAACTTACATTTCATTCTCAAATCACGTCTTTCTTCGTTTATTACGGTTTTAAACAAGCCATAGATCGACGTATACGGTATTTACTCCCATGTTCACGTCGCCATATGAACTTCTTCCAATCACTCGATTACAAAACAATCATCCCAAAACAAAGAATTCATGATCGACTTTTAAAAGAATAACCAATAATTTGTAAATCGTTGAATGGAAAGCAAAAAATCGTCAGCTAAAACAGCTTCTTGCTAACTTTCTGCTTTGTTTTGAATGTAAAATGGAATGAGCTTTGTTTCTGCCCGCAATTTTTTGGTCAGCGACGACAAATTTCCCACCTGTTGCGAAGCGCTCAAATACGAGTAGTTTACGAGTGTGTTCCGCCTGGTCATCGCAATACAAATTAGAGCGTGTTCGGAACGTGTGTACACATGTAAAAACGCACAAGTTGTAACAAATCTGCAAACAAGCTGTCAACAAGTTGTGTTCGCATTGCTTGTTCCCAGTTTGTTGTAACAAGTTTGAAACAAGCTGTTAACAACTTGTAACAAGCTTGATGGCATTATCAGCCTTGTTACAAGACTGTGCTAACAAGTTTGTTACAGCCATGATATAACAAGGATGTTACAAGGTTGCCAACACAAGGTTGTAACAATCTTGTTATATCAAGCATGTAACGGACTTGTCAGAACAACCTTGCAACAAGTCTGGTAATTTCGGCAAGGTTGTTACAAGTTGTCAACAAGTTGTTCCAAACCTGTTGACAACTTGTGATAAGCAGTGCGAATACATCTTGTTGACGGCTTGTTTGCAGACTTGTTACAACTTGTGCGTTTTTACTATATATGGTTTTTACGCACAAAGCACGCATTTCGGACATGACCCGAATGAAAACGATTTGTAAAACTTCCATTGTGGAAACACCGCACGTTTGCTCCGCCCACTTCCTGTGTTTGACACGCGCGCCAACTTCTAACATTTTGTTGACAAAAGCCTTAACACAGTACGGTTTCTCGTCCGAATTTTTAAACAAAAACTGCAATTTTAGACCTCAAATGGAGACGAATTTACTAAAGTATCCTTCCAACTTCATGTTAAAAGCAAAATGTATTGAATTGGGCTTGAAACTGCGGTGAATTTTGAAAGAACGTGTTGGCAAACGAACGATAGTTTTGACACAACTCGCTTATACAACAACGGCCCAAAATCGGATATTCTGTTCAAATGTCACTGGTTTATTTGAGCAGTTAATCCAGCGGGACAATGTTGTCGTCTACGGAAGGTTAGTGGCGTATTTTTTAGTTAGAAACGAGTAGTTTATGAATGTTTTTTTTCGTTGTATTTTGTTCTAAATTCTAAAGAAAAATCGCGAAATGTCGCATTTACAATGAAAACATTTGGGCGATTCAATGTCCCGTTTTCAGATACGTATATGGATGGTATAATATACATTTTGTATTTTAGTAAATTACAAATCTCACCAAATATACAAAATTTTTATTAAAGTATATTATAAAATTTGTTGTATCTCTTAATATGTTACATATTAACTCGAATTGTCACAATTATGATATTTTAGAACAAATTACAGTATGGTTTCCATTCAACCTTCTTCGTGAAAAATTTAGTTTTGCATTTGTTGAGGAAGTTACTCGCAGCATTTGCAATTGTACTTAAGTTGAACACCTGGCAAAATTTACTTTATCTGTCAAACTGTCATTTGGCTAATTGTTAAATTACTAATTTGACATGTTAAAACGCATGCATTTGAAATATAATATTTTCTTACTGTAATTTAATATTCAAACTCACATTTAATAACTGTTATTGCTCATAATTGGCAGCCTAAAATGGTACAGATGTCTAAATAAAATTGCCCTCAAACCAATGCCATTGAAAAGCTTATAGGTTCTTGTCGACTTTCTCGAAGCTCTAGTATGCTTTTGCTGGATTCCAGTACATGTAGATATAAATATATCTGAAGGTTTGAGCATTTTTTAATCACTGTCTTTTGCTTGCTGGTACCCGTTGTGTAATAGGAGTCAAATTGACTGTAAGTAACAAGAGCATTAGATGTGACTACTTCTTTTGTTCAACCTTGTTGATAATATCAGACTTGTTGCAAGGTTGTTCCAACAAGTCCGATGCAGTCGTAAAATAACCTTATGTTGTTTCCAGAATGGAAGTTTTACAAATCGTTTTCATTCGGGTCATGTCCGAAATGCATAGACGGATTTTCTGGGGGGGTGCAAGGGGTGCTACCCCTCCAATATTAGCTATAACCCCCCAAACAAAATGTCCACCCCTCCAAAATAATTTTTAACCCCCCCCCCCCAATATTTGGCATAATAATTAAATAGTCCACTCCAACGTGCAGAGTGTTGATGATACAAAATAAACGTAGGAGTGCACTCGAACAGGAAAAGTGCAACACTCTGAAACTAAGGCCCTGTTTACATGAGACCGGAACGAAGTCAAACCGGGACCATTTCGTTTCGGTCATAGTATTATTTATAATAGATGTTTACATGAGACCGGGACGAAAATAACTCAGACCGGTCTCAAGTCATTCCGCCTGCTGAACCGAACCGACTGACTTGAGACCGGCATGAATTCAGACCGGGATGAATGTAAACAGAAATACATTTCAGACCGGTCTCGGCTGTATAACCTTGACATTGGAACAACACATGCTAACAAAAGCCATCTGAAAAAGAAATTGCCTGGCAAGGGGAATAAGTTGAAAATTTTGTGATTTTCGTACCGGTCTCATGTAAAAATGTTGACAATTTCAATTTTCATTCCGGTTTGACTTCGTCCCGGTCTCATGTAAACGGGGCCTAATTGCTCCTCGCTTGCATTCACTGGTTTATTGGACCATG